CATTTTGTTAAGTGGGTAGAGAGTCGAGCTATATCAAATACTACTTCTTCCTCGGTTGTAGAGAGGGCTCCTTCTTCTCTGATGTAAGGGAGAGGCACAAAAATTGTCAAGTAAAAAGAACAAAGAAAGAGCGATATTGAAGACATGAAGGGAAAGGATGCAAGTTCCCAGCAGGTCCACCCCAGATTTCAGAGCCCTCCTAGTGTGACTGCTGCAGCGGGGAGCAATAAGCCTCCCTGATCTGTGCTTGTCCATGTCCTTCCTTTAACACCAACAAGTTTTTCAGTGGGAGGTCTTCACAGAAGCTTTCTGTCGAAGCTTCATTTGGGGAGAGGAAACTTTAGACGACGAGAACAAGAGAGCGTGTTGGAGGGCTCTTGAATGATTCAGACAGTATCTGGCAGCTTTAATAGAACTCGGCAGCTTAGCCTTTTTTACATTTTCCACAGCTGTAAAAGGTCTCCAATAAAGGGCTGACAGAGCTTCACAAGAGCAGTGAGACAGAAATTGGGAAAATTATACAAGTTATTTTTTTATATATGCCATCCATCAATTTCATCATTTCTCTCCCACCAGCACATAGACTGAGTCTGGCAACACTTTCTTCTCAACTCTTTCTTTAAAAAAACAACAACGTTATTCTCCTAAACCTCCTTGCGGCTGACCTCTCCCCCTAAATGGTCAAGCCTTTATGGATTGGACCACCAGTCCTTGTGGAATAGCTTCAGCAATGCATACACAACACACTTTTGGTATAACACAAGATTAGTGGTGGAGGTATGTGTATGCTACATGTATAAACTACAGCATTTTAAGATACCAATATCATTGCAACAATAGCTTTTTAGATGTTTTAACTTGTTTTCTTAAATAATGAAAGTTCTCAAAAGTTAACGGATATTGTGATATCCGCCCAAAAATGTTAAGCCAAATGGGAGATGCTACACCTGAACTCATGTAATTTCATAATGGAAGGCCAAATTAATTCCAAACTGGGTGTGAGAGTGGACTGAGGCTTCCTCTATAGGGGAAAAAACTTAACATTGTGATCTGTTGATGAAATAGAGCTCTACAAACACAGAAGTACAATGGGTGAAAATTTCAAATGAGAATCTGCAATGAATGTGCTCATATACTTTTCAACTGTATTAGGTAGGATTGTCCCAGAATCACTAAACAGAATTTGCTGGAAAGGTCTCACTGTGCTGAATCCAGTAATATACGATATCGGTTAGGCTAATTCAGACTTTCTGCCTGAAAAGAGAAAATATTTTTTCTTTAGGTATGTCAGTTTGAAAATATAGTAGTAGGTCCTTCACCTCCTATTGCACCTACTTCAAATCTAGCAAAAGAACTTGACTGAGCCTGACTGATATTTTTCTGGGAGTACAGAGAAATGAGGTGGACGTACAGTAGTAAACAATTTTAAAAAATGTGTTTGCATGCGTAACATTGCTATTCTCAGTGGAAATAGCCATATTAGTATTGGTGGTAGTAGTATGTTCACAAGAGGCCCTCTCAGACTGAGATGCACAGTCCCCAAAGCAGATGGCGAAACTTGGGAAAGTAGGACAAGAATCTAAAAGTCGAATAAAAGTTTTTCTTTGTGATCCTACAACCTTTCTTCAAATAACAACACTATTTAGAGGACACATCTGAGTCACTAAAAACAGCCCTGCTCTGCTCAGGTCTCCTAATCCATTACACGGAGTTTCACGAAGTTGGTTACAACTAATACTCCTGCCCTGGCCCCAATGTTTCACTTCACCGACTTTGGCAATTAAATCCTCACCTGGCAAAGATGACTCTGTCGTACAAGCTCGTATTAATGAACATGCGTGTGGAATGTGTGCCTGATGCGAGGGGGCAAACTGAGAGAATGAGGAAGGAGAAGTAACACTCGGATCTGAGTGGGGAACACCTTTGGCAGCTTAACACTAATCACTAACCCTCTTCCCCATCCTCTCCCTCTCAGTGACAACAAAATGATCTAATTATAGCTGCGGTAAGAAGTCAAGAAGAGCTGTAATGTCAAGGAAAGAATGACAGACAAAAAAATACAAAAGAAGAAAAGAAATCAATGAAGCAAATAAGAAAGATAGCAGAAAGAGCGGAAGAGATAAAAGAGACACGAAGGGAGGTGTGAGAAGAGAAGAAGAGATGAAGAAGAGGATGTTTAAGAGGCAAAGAGGGAGTGGGAGGATAGCCGTAATTATCCTCTCTGTCTGCCACTGATGAAACACTGCCTATTGTGTTGTCATTGTTTCACTGCTGTGGCTCATCTGCGTGTTTGTTTATCTGGGTTATTAACAAGGTCGGCTCCCCAGTCCTCAGTCGGCTGAACTCATTGTTCAGTCACATTGAGTGTGGCCCGCACTTGAGTACAAGAGATACATGTGGCACAACCCACTCACGCACACACAAACAAAAACGCAGACAAACAGGGCATCTCACGCATACACATGACAGAAAAAAAATGCAAATATATAAACACAAGGCTGTGTAGTTTTCTATTGTATTACATCTGGAATTACTGAAATCACACTGCTCATGTTTTATTTGCTGCAAAAGGAAGAGGCAGACAAAACATTTCTCCTGCTGAGATTGCTCTGGGAAGCTATTCACAAAGATTATTTTTCTACAGGCAACATTTAAGTAGCTCCTACTGTCACACTACACTTGCGTCATGCTGCGACAACCGTGTACAATCGTTGTCGGCATTATGTTCACCGACAGCACTATACACATTCCATAATGTAAGCCTTTCTTATCTTTTCTTTTTTCTTGAGCAAGTTTTGGCCTCAAAATTGAATTGCAAGCCAATCTAAATAAGAAGCTGTGGGAGCCGGCGGAGAATATGTTGCCACAGCCTTCGCAGAGGCTGCGAAGAAGTCGGAAAATAGGTGAAGAGGATGGGTTAAAGCAGCCTGAAAAGCAATAGCACAAGTTCTGGTCACTGACGAAATATAAGCGGAATGACTGAAGATGCTGCATGAATAATAAACGACTCACTAACAAGTAAATACACTCATGTCCAAGGGTCAAAGGACACGAGCTCACTCTTTTGTGATACTCTTAATCTAAGTTCAAAGCACACAGAGAATTTTCAGTCCATGTCCAAGCACGGACATCTAGACCTCCCAGAATCAGAGAGCACATTTTGCCCCTTGGGCTACAGATAAGGCAACTATATATCAACATTAAAGCTTTAAAAGATTATAGCTACTGGCCTTTGACATCAAAATTAATCTTGACCGAGGCGTTCAGCGTAGCTTTCAAAAATACTATTGCGGGGCAAGAGGTACTCCAGTGCTTTGATACAGCACCCCTTTAAATGTCAGAGGAGATGAAAAATCAACAAAAAAGGGCATTTTTGAGAGCAAGAGAGGAAAAAAAACAATAACAATGACACCATGTTTGTGTGTGTGTATATGTGTTAGAGGAAGAGCATTGGAGAGTGAAATAAAGACAGCCAGACATGATTAATTTGTCAGTAGGGAGGAGGAAAAAAAGGCAGAATAGCTAGTCTAGGAAAACGACACACATAGAAAACTGTGGGGAAAAAACATGTGGGAAAAGCAAAGTGCTATAAGAGGAAAACTCTTAATGAACCCAGACTTGCTAAAGGTGCTAAACCTGTCAGTGTGCTACCGAGAGCTTCGATACCAACTAAAAAGACCAAGGAAAAAAAATCTATTTCTTCCTGGTATTTGTTTACTCTGCGTTCTCTTTTATTTTGACTTCTCAAAAAAATGAAACAAACTCAGAGCTAATCTTTAGGAGCAATTGCAAGCTCTGGAAAGTAACATGCTGCTATCGCAACAAGGCTGCAGAACAAGAGCGTAGGAAATGGTCTTCACTCTGGTGATGACACAGTAATGTAGATTAAAGCAAGAAGAGTGGAATGTGGTGGCCAGTACAGATTACTGATGAAACAAGCAAAAACAACAGAGATAAAAATCACAAGAGAAATCTGTTTTGATTTTTTTGTTTTGTTTTGGGTTTTGTTTGTTGGGTTTTTTTAAATGTTTTTGAGCATTAACACACACCAGGTACTACAGGTCACAGAAAGACACTCCCACCACAGAGACTGTTCCCATCAAGCTCTGCTAGCCCTTCTTTGATGGTTACCATAGCAACTGTTAAACCATAAGCTCCTGTGGCAAGCAGGGACCTTCTATAGTTGGTAAGCTTGCTTGTTTTGTCCTTTATTCTTCACCTGTAGTCGGTATCAGCCAAATTAAAAACATTTGTCCACTCTTAATAATCATGAGTTTGGCCATACCATGTGTTACAGTTAAGCAGATATTAATCTTAAAATTATTTCCTTTTGTGTCACAGTGCTTATATCTGCCTCTTTGTGTGAGTGGGTGTGTACGTGTGTCTGTGCATCACACCCTGTTAGCTGAGAGCAGGTCAATTAAGGGAGTGTTTACTAGGCACACTGCCTGTGGCACTCCCACCATTGAACCAATACTTGGCTGCCACACATCACGCTGTGCTGGCTATGATAAACACAGCGAACACATATCTATCCATCTGCCACCTGTCTATCTGTGCGCTTCTATGTCTACTTCCTTCCTCCAATAAATCTCCTTCTCCATCACTCCGACATTAAGACCAACGTCGCAAGTCCCTGTTCGGTGACATCTAGCTATTAAGAGTGGAGGACAGTGTGACAAGCTTGCTGACAACCCAATAAGCTGTGCTCCACAGAGAGAGCACAGTATAGTGATTTAACCCCTCCAGCCAGCAGCTGGAAAAGCTTTCTCATGCTTTTTAGATTGTTACCTGAAGCTAAAGATTTGAACGACCTCACACAAACACCTATATATATATTTTTCTTAATTAAATAAACTGTCAAATTATGCTTTATCAAATAGAGGTCAGCAATATGCTGTATGTATGCACTCATCATTGTATCCCAAGGTGAGGTCTGATGGTCACGACTGCAAAGAAAAAAAAAAATTTAAATTGATGAATTGATGTTTCAGACTCACAGCATGGTTTGGTGGTCTCCAGTACGTCTGGGTGGCCTTATCATAGTGGTGCTGCATACGTTTGTCCACCTGTCTGTCGCTCTGTCTTAGTGAAGAAGGAGCCCTCTGGTGGTGGCACTGACACTTGACCTGCTGGCCTGTAGCAGACTGAGGGAAAGGCGGGAAGAAAAGAACAAAGGAAGGAAGGACAAGAAAGGGTTTTAACTCTGGTGACTCCTTTTCAAGCCTCTGCTCTCACGCTCTTTAAAAGCTTGCCACTTTATACGCAGTCAAATAAAAGTACTCAGAGAGAAAACTGAATAGGCCTTAATGTACTGAAAGCAAGTCCCCTTTTACTATAACACCCACTGTGCACTTGGATTCAGCTCACTTCAACTTTTAAATAATAACTGGGTTGAACTTAAAAGAAAACATCTCACTAGAAAGTTCATTGAAGCTTTAAGAAAAAAAAGATACTTTTTTTTCCCACTGGGATGAATCACAAGCATTTAGCATCACCAGTCAAAAACCTAACTGGTGTGCTGCCACACATAACAAAAAGCTAAATACATCAGATGTAATCACTTGAATGAACAGAAAAAAGGGTCTTCAGCAAGGGTTCATTTTTAAATTGATAAATGGAATTTATTGTTAAAAAAAAGAATATTTCTCATCCAAAGCAATAAAATTCTATCCACTTATTTTTCCAGACGACTTGAATGTGCACGAAAACTGGGAGCCAGCAAAATTATCAGCCTGCTCTGATTAAAATTGATGCACATTAGGGAAAATCAAGACCAGGTTGTAAATGGCTACAATTACCTTTACATAGTAATTTAAATATCCTGCAGTAAATTAAACTCGCTGACATTTACTTTAAGCGCATGTTCACCCAATATTGCCTCCTTTTTTCATCAGTCAAAACCTTTCCTGACAAACCACTTTCCTAACCTTGTTTTTAATTCAAACGATTAACTCAATCAATTATTGAATCAGAAGGTCAGAGCAACTAATGATGTGCACCACATTAAATTTTTGTTTAAAAAAAAAAACAAAAAAACTTGAGCTTGATATCACATTTTTTCATATGTAGCTGAATAGCAAAGAAATTTTGGCTGTGGAAAGGCATGAAAGGATCTGACATGAATCGCAGGTGTTTGCCAGCCTTGGTAAAAACTTCAGTGCAGTGAGCATGAGCAGTCTACCTCAAGTGCAGCAGAAGACGCCTTCAAAGCTACATACTGTCAAGCAACACTGGGAAATCAGTTTTTTATCTTTGATAGTTCCACTTTCCTCTCTCCCATTATTTCATTTTCACTCCCATTTTCTCCTCTTAGCCTTCAATGTACACAAACACACACATACACACACTGTATACAGCAACAGACCGTCTCCCAGCCACACTCAGCTCCTCTATTGTTTTCTCATTACTGCACTATGTTCAATTTACTCATTTTTTTCCACACGTCTGTTTCTCAGCACTTTCTAATGCTTTACCTCCCTCAGCTTTACTTGAATCTTTACCAACTTTAATATTACCCCCTACCCAATTTCAAGGACATAAAGCAGGTCCAGTCGCCGTTTACTCTTTAACTCTAGTTCCAATATGAACCAAATGACCTGCACATAAATGTTAGATTTTCACCAAACACACTTGACAGAAGAAAACTTCCAAAACTTTTGTGTTTCTTAGTTTTTGGTTTCCTCATTTAGTCTTTTACTGCGAGGACATTCTTCTGACATTCTTCTAACGGCTGCACACAAAATGCTTGAGTACAGTCGGAGGAGTAAATGTTGCTGTTTCCGTTTTTATTTTCTTTCTGCCGTTGTCCAACCCTTTCACTCCTTCAGCTTCTACACTCATTAAAGTCAGTCAAAGATCTGAAAACATGCCCCAGCTTGTTCTTACTGCCTCTGCTTGTTGAGGCTAAGGGTGGAACAATATCGTTCTGACTGAAGAACCTGTGGGTGGGTGCTTATTCTAATTGGAAGAATGCTGTGCAGTGGCAAGGCAGGAGAACAGACCTTGCTTTGACATTTTGGTATTTCTTGATATGGCAGGGATTTGAATAATGTCAGCTAGGCATACTGTTGTTTGGCTAACAAGGGAGCCTGGTCAGGACACTAATGAATGTTAGAGAGGAGATGGAGCCAGCTAAAGGCAAACAGAATGGAAGTTGTTGGCAGGCATGAGTAACACACTGGCGTGCATGTAGGAGTCCAGCAACATACCCAACTCCCACCTATGATGAAGGGTATTGCAGTACATCTTCTTTGATCACTTGAACACTAGAAAAGTGGGTCTATCAGACTTTTTCCACTTTATCAATCCATCTGTCTTTTTAAACCTTCAATTGTAAGATCTGATAGAGAAGAATAAGGCAGTAGCAATGGCCAGACATGCCTAACTATCGCAGATCAGTAAAGAGATCTGATGTCACAGGGGTGGTCTCTCAGAGAGAAAACACGTTGAGCGCTACATGAATGCAACACGTAAACATGAGCCTTGAAGCCATTTCAGCTCTGCCTGTAAATCACAGAGGATCTTGTAAAACCTAGATCTCATCAAACTGAAGAAGAGCCTGTATTGATCTTCTGTATGTTATACTTGCATTTATAGTTTATGAGCATTCACACCTGACTTTATTATTTCTTTCCTCTTTCTTTTTTATTTTATTGACATTTTCCACTGTTTTTCGCACTAATTAATTGATACTTTGTGTCAAAATGTCTACTGTGTTTGCATTTTGCCAAAAGAGGATGTTATTTCTACTAAACCTCTGGTCAGTCAATCATAAAAGCAAATAAATATTTTCACAGTTTTTTCTGTTTACTAAAACAAATTTTAGTGTAAGGGTTTTCCTTTCCTTCCTTTTTAATTTACTAAATAGTTTTTTCACATATGTTTTTAGTTTTTAATTTAATTTTGTCAACTATAATAATTTCGACGCAGAATAATTCATGACACCTTTAAACACAATTCAACAGCAGATATGCCTCACATACTATGCTTGAAAAAACAAAACAACTATTCTGTGTAATTTCTGTCTCAGCTTTGAGGCAGGATGAATGAACGGTTACACTCCAAGTATATCTATATGTGGCATAGATTCCCCTTTTCAGTTGTATAAGCCATGTTTACAACGACTCACAATCTGTTCCTGTTGATGTTGTTTTTGTAGTTCTTGACACCGCAGTGTGAGCTGAGCAATGATCTTGTCTCGACTCCTCAGTTCCTCTCTGAGCACCTGCACTTCCTTTACCAGCACCTCCAACTAAAAACACACACGCACACAAACATATGCATACACACCCTTATTTAGGAACTAAAAAAAGAGCATAATAAAGTGATAGATCAAGAGATAGATATGTATCATATACCACATTTTCAGTCAATCTTCACTGTAAACTGCAGTCACAGTTTCTTACCTGTGTTGCAGAGGTACTGTCTTCAGATTCCACAGGAACATCTGCTGGAGTGTCTGTATCCTCAAGCTGGAGACAAACACACACATTCACAAGAGAGGGCACGCACACAGACAGAGAGTACACAGTGAGTTGAATCAATGGCAACTGCCTACAGCATGCCTCAGGAGCAATATCTCACTATGGTGGAATAATTTTACTCTTTAGCACATACACTCCACTGACCCTGAACTGTCAGCCACAAGTGTTAGATACCAGAGGCAGAGTTTGTTTTTGAACTAAAGACATTTATTTTATATCCAAAAATGTCCTTGTATCAGTGGCTACTTGTGTGTTCAACCTTTCTATAAACTCCTACGACATTAATGTAATTATTATCCCAATTATTTAATCAGTGCCATCCGCAGGTTTTTAGACACCAAGCATATGTACTTAAGTGGCTGGTATTTAATGTTTAATGAACATTT